CCAATGCCACCGCCGTTGCACGCATTACCGGTCACACGAGTACCCACCCCCGAGCCGCCGAATAATCACGCGAGACTACTGCCGCAACAGGAAATACCCACCCCCAAGGCAAAAATGAAAACCATCAATTGGAACAAGATACCAAATCACAAGGTTCGCTTGTTTGCTTAACGACCTCTCGATCTTCGCCGCCCCCATCGTTTATCGTTTTATCGTTTTGGATACCATGATTCCTAGGTGATCGGAAAGCGCAACATTTGGTCTCTGGTTGCCGACGAGCATCAGAATTCTCCCATGGCGGATATAGATTGGGCAGAGATGGAAGGGCTGTTTTGTCAACAAGTGCCGCCGGTATTACCAGCCGCCTCGTGCTCCTCCTACGGAGCAAACTCCGATGCCGAGAGACGACGTAGGGAACCGACCGAGGTACTACGTATTTACGTATTTCATGTGTAACCTTACATAGATTTTTGCGCGGGTCACTCGATCCGAATTTTCTTTCACGAGTTTCTTTCCAATTTATTTCAGATCGCGCTTCTCGATGGCAAGAGGAGCTTGAACGTTAATATATTCCTAAAACAGTTTCGAAGGTAAGCGAACTATCGCGATCTTCTATCCGAGACATAGAGATACGGATTGAAAACGTTGCCGATGATTTCCAGTTCGAACGAAGATATTATTCGGCTTATAAAGGACGGCAGTCACGACGAGATCGGGGCGGAGAAGTTGCGCGGCCTTCTAAAAATTTTACCGGAGGTCGACGAACTGGAAATGCTCAAGAGCTTCGACGGGGACAAGTCGAAGCTCGGAAATGCCGAGAAATTCTTTCTGCAACTGATTCAAGTACCAAAGTGAGTATCTTCGACGTACTTTCTTATCATATGTATTACGATAGATGGCGGAAAAATTGAAATTGAAATAAAACTCGCCTGGTGTGCCCTGCCAGTTACAAACTACGCATAGAATGCATGCTGCTGAAGGAAGAATTCGCCGCTAATATGAGCTATTTAGAACCAAGCATCAATTCGATGATCCTAGCTGGTGAAGACTTAATGACGAACAAGCCACTTCAAGAGGTGTTGTACATGGTTCTGGTGGCCGGAAACTTCCTCAATTCGGTACGAAAATAGAACGAAAGCACTCGCGTTCGTTGGAAAATTGACGCGCGCAAATGCGGACACGTAACTAAAATTATCGTCGTCTATGTACGTAGGGTGGTTACGCTGGGAACGCCGCCGGAGTAAAGTTATCCTCTTTGCAAAAAATAACTGAAATCCGAGCGAATAAACCAGGAATGAACCTTATACATTACGTAGCTCTGGTAACGTATATTCTTCGTGCTTCTTCGTTTACGCGTATCGTTTCTAGTTTATGTTCGAACGTTTCGTGCACCCGTAGCAAGCCGAAAGGAAGAGGAAGGATTTGCTGGATTTCGCAAAGGGTATGACCACTCTGGAAGCCGCCACGAAGTAAGTCCTTCGCGAAAATAATCTACTCGATTTAAACAACAGCTAAAACGTTCTCTCTTTTATCCTTTGTCGTGTGTGTGTGTGTTCGTGGTACACAGGACCACAACGGAGCAATTAAACAACGAATTTAACGCACTCGACACAAAGATCAAAAAGATCAAGGCACAGATTAATTTTCCTTCGACGGAAACCGACATACAGGAACAGATGGCACAGTTTTTGCAGGTACCGCGTCTTTAATGATTACTTGGTTGTTGGTAAAACAAAGAAAAAGGAAAAAGGAGGAAAACGTTAGAAAATCATCGAACGTGTCAGGAAAATCTGATTAAACTCGCGCTTTTGTCGTAGATAGCGGAACGAGAAATGAGTCAATTGAAACGAGACATGGAAGAACTCGAAACGTTAAGACGATCGCTCGCCGAATTTTTCTGCGAAGACAGCAACGCTTTCAAGATCGAGGAATGCCTCAAGATATTCCATCAATTTTGCCAAAAGTTTAATCAGGCTGTCGCAGAAAACGAGAGACGTAGAATTCAAGAGGAACAGATATTGGCAAGGCGCAAACAACGAGAAGAACAACTTTTGGCTAAAAAACGACTACGTACGTGATATAAATACGTATAATCTTTGTCGCCTTTTCTTTTCGTCAAGTCGTACATCAGCCTTTCTCTTCGATCGTTACATCGTATCACAATCGCGTCATTTTACCCAAATGTTACAGTGACCAATAACCAACAACAAATCGAGGCGCCGACCTCTGAATCTGAATGCAATTTAATCGGTTACGATCCTTTCGATCTTGCTAGCGGTTTACCTCAAAGAAATTACGGTCGTCCCGACGTTAAGGTATACGTTTCTCGTTTACTCCTTCGAATCGACGAAAATAATCATGTTCGACTTTCGATCTTTCCATTCTCCTTGATTTAGATCAAAAGACTGCAAAACGGGGCTGTCACTTCCGACGAAGATGTCTCGATAACCGGATCGCCTAATATTCGACGACGTTTAGGTTCTTGTTCCGGCGGAATCGTCGACCAGCAATCTACCAAAGAAGAAACTTACTCGCCAGGTATTCCAACTTTATTCCTCGATCACGCGCCTTACCTTTCTATCGGGCGCGACTTATCCTTCTTCGCTACTGTTCCGCGTCTTCTTTCACGTTCGCAGATGTTACTCCGAACGGTACCCTTCGTCGTCGAAGAAGTCGAATACCCTGCGAGGATGACGACGGTAATTTAATGGACTTTTTAAGGACGTCGGGTCAAGACGGCACTCGTGAAAGAAAATCGTGGGGTAGCTTAGGTATAATCAAATCGTTCGCTCTTCCTTTACGATACGTAAAATTCCTTTAAGAGATTTGTTCTTCGTTCGTCTAACAATAGTAGTGGTAATAAGAATAATAGTAATAATAATCTTTTTCCCTGATCAACGAGCACAGATCGGTCGTGGGCAAGAAGAGCACGCGGCCAGTCTCGCAGAAGCGATCTATTAAACGCAGATTTCTCGATCGATCGCGAAAGGCCGAGTTCTCCGTCACCTTTGCTCGAGAGCAAACCTTTCTTGCAAGAGGAAGAAACGAAACCTGCAGGGTAAGCAACGTTCCTAATCAATCGATCAATCGTGATGCGTGTGCTCTGTAAATATGCGTTTACGTCGAATCGTAAATAGGAAAGCATGGCGGCAGAAGATCGAGGCATGGTTATCGGAGAACGAGAAGGAAGACCGTGCAGGCGAAGAGCTGCAGAAAAAAGCAAGACAGTTGCACCATGCGAATCGACGCTCCTACGAGGACTCAGGTAAGTATCGAGTATATGCGTACACACGTACTAGCATATATGTACATTGCGAAACGTTTTAAACTCCGTTGACTTAATGCGTAGAGAGCGAAGGCAAGACGAATATTCAAATCGAAGCTGGTTCCACCCACGATACGTACTCGGAAGTTTACGATTGGCGGCCGTCCGTTGAGAAGACAGATGTGATGCGCACGATGGAAGCTATCGAAGGTTATTCTTTCTATCGTATTGCACAGACCATCTTTTACCATTTCTAGCAAATTTCTTTCTAGTTTGTAATTACGAATCGAATTCGAATACGAACTTGTTTTCGTTCCAGAAGCCGAGACGCATCCGTCGCAAAAGGATAAATCTCCTTGGCGAAAGTCGAGCCTGAACGTACCAAATAGTATGGAAGAGACTGACCCGCGTTATTCCCGCAGGCTAAGATCACGACTGAGCGCAGAAAACGTATTAACATCCAGCACTTTGCAGGTTGATACACTTATTTGATCATCGAGTAACGATTTCCCTCTTGTCGACAAAAAGAAACGATTGCAAGTTTTGTCTTCTGCTTCTCTTCTTATTGCAGTCGATCAAAGAGGAAGAGAGAAAGAAGAATAAGACTACCGACGTCGTGAATTCAAACCCTCAAGATGAGTTAACGATTTATCTAAGGCAACCTTACGGCGATTCTCAAACCGCTGGATCGCGGAGATTTTCGAAACTGAAGAAAGGCGCTGACGAAGAGAAGATCACCGACAAGATCGAGATCGATTCTGATAATATAGAAACACCTCCAGCAACTAGAAAGTTATTCAGCCCGCCTAAAGAAGTGAAGCCGGTTGAGAAAGAACCGTGTAAAAGAGAACGTTGCAGCAGCTCTTTTCAAAGCAGAGACTTTAAGAATCCAATGTCGAAAAATGTAAATAACACAGACTTCGGAATAGGTAAGTGGTGTAAGGCGTTCTCCGCTAGTAATTTCGTTACCGTTGTCGTTATCGCTGATCCGTTTCAGGCAATTTTGATCGTTACTCGGCGGCAAGGAGAACACGAAGATACAAAAAAAATCAAGACTCGGCAGAGAAAGACTCGAAACAAGAGTCGATGGTCGATGTCGAGTCGTTGGAAGCGAAACCAGCTGACCGTCCGCACTCTTTGCCACTGTCGGAGGAAGAAGGACACGGCGAAGATTCCGTGCCATCCGTTTGGCAAGAGAAATCGAAACGGCAGGCGGAATCCTCGAGTTTGTTCGATATCGACACCGCATTGGCAGAGATCGCTCGTTCCGGCGAAGATCTTCAACGATTGTCGCGACCATTGGTGCACCGAACCTCGAGGCTACCGGTCAGTCAACCGTCAGCCGTCGTCGCCGTAACCAACACCGTTCTAAGTCCCGTGATGCAAGAGTCTCGACCTCGAGAATCCTCGTTGACCGTTCTCGCGGAAAGAGCTGTAACTAGCCGCGAACGACAGAGGACCATGATCGATCCTAGTCAGGTAAAAGAGGCGATCAGACTGACCAACAATCCGCCGAGTCAGGTGAACGAATGTCAGAACGTCTCAACGTGCCGATCTCGAAAGCAATCTCGATCTTTTGGGAAAAACGAATCCACGAACGATGAAACAGATCTAGCCATCGCCGATTCGAATCGTTGCCAAGAAAACGCAGATCCTGACGTCGAGATTTACCACGACAAACGAGCCGAATCGACGCTGCGAAACCAAAGCAAGATACAATCCGTACGATCCAACACGGACGGTTCGGTCTTTCATCCTAGATTCGTGCCGCCTGATATAAATGTCACCACCTCTACCTCCTCCTCTTTTTCTTTGTTGCCTGCTTCCGGAAAAGCTCGAGATCAAGAGATGAACGACGAAGGTTTCGAGGAAACGCAGAGTTTAGTTTCCGAAACCCTCAGTCAAGAAACGTCGTCCGGAAATTACGAGACGGATACCCACGATTCCACGCGATGCTCTCCAGCCGAATTACGCTATTCTGGAACCGATAATCATCCCCCTGTTCACACCACCATCGACCACATCCAGGTAACCGAACACGATCCGAGCAAATCGATCGGAGATGCGACGTTGAAAACAATGTCGTCGCCGTCACCACCGATCTCGAAAGGGTTCGAGAAACGAACGGGCTCGATGAAACACAGCAGCGAGAAGTCTAGCTTCCTTCCGAAACGGACAAACGCCTTAAAGCGGGACGTTTCAGTGAGAAAAGCGGCGGAATCGATGCAACGAAATTCAAATCTGACGTTCCAATCGAACAACAGTCAGACGAGGAACGAGGTAGAACGTTCGGGATCGAGAAGCAGTCTTCGTAGTTCGCGAAGTTCCTTGAATAGCGCCACGTCGGTAAACACCGTACGAAATTTAGTTCCGAATCACGCACCTCTTCGTACTTACACGTCAGCGATTTGCGCGTTAACCAACGATTTGCGAAAAAGTCCGTCACATAGTCCGTTACCGCCGAAAAGCAACGAAAAACGTCGAACGAATCCACGCGCGACAGTCACTAGAATACCAGCTAGCAGAAGCAGTAGCAGCGGAAGCAGCGTGGGTCCAACTGCGAGAACCGCTCGCAAGTCTCTCGGGGTAAGCATTCAGCTAGCCAGCTATCTTCTAATTTTTACGACAGTTTGTGTAAAATAAATCGTCGTGTTTTCAGTCGACCACCGATGTGCAAAAAGCAAACAAAGGACGAGCGCTCTTCTCGCGTAGTAGCAGCAGCGGAAGCGGCAGTAGCATGCGTCCACAGTCTTTGCCATTAAATCGTGTAAACGTCGAAAAGGTGCCATCGTCCGTCGCTAAAAGTAAGTTGATTCACCCAAGAAGCGGAACCAGAAATCACAGTTTCATGAGACCGACAGCCGCAAGTGTGAACAAAGGTTCCATTCCGAATCTACCCAGGAGCATCAAAGGTTTGGTCAAGTAATAATTCTGTAGAAAAGAAAAAAGATTCGCTCAATACCGATTGACACGCATCGATAGCCGTTGGCGATGCCCTACATATGCTTTCTTCTAACACAATCATTATCTTTAAACACTCATCAGAGTTTCCTCGTGGAGTTTAAATCGTTCGCTTTGACATAGAACACTCATGTCGAGATCGTTGATGTCGAGGATGACGACATAGTCACCGTAAATTCATTAGATATCAGTTCATTCAGAAGCATATACATATATCGAAGACAATGGCACTCGTTTGAAAGATATTAGATCGCAGTATGAGATTACAATGTTTCGATGTGAGAGATTGAAAGGTCGTGGAAAGTTAAACGATGACCTAATATTTATGGTATCCCTTCGGGTACTAGATAAAATACAATTGCTGCGATGTGAGAAATTCAGAGGTACGAGGACTATTGTAAAATACCCTGTACGTATGACGCCAACCGTTATGTAAAAATTTCCGGAGATACAATATGCATATGTGACGTTACGCTTTACAGAAACTTACTAAAGCATCGCGAAAACAGTGTTTGCCGAATAATACGAGTTATTCGCATCGCGTGAAACGCAATTATCGTAATCTGAATTTGAACTGTCAAATTGCGATTAACAAGACAATGCAAAAAATAAGTTATATGTACGCGAGTTTGTAGCCATCGTATACGCTAGCTAATGTATCGAATAATTACCTTCAGTCTTTTCGAATTCAATTACATACACGCATGTATCATAGGAAATCACTAATAATCGATTAACTCGCACAGTACACACGCGAGTGTCGTTGATAACAAAAAAGAAATAAATATGTATTATGTAACTATATGTTGAAAGCAGAGATTTTAATACCGAATAAAAACGGCAACGTCCTATATTCGCACTATATTCGGAATCGTCTTATTCCTACATGTCACATGCTGTACAACGATGTAGCAAAAATTCGTAAGTAGTTGAATACAGTTGGATAGTTAAAGAATAAGACGATTCCAAAGTACACGCGATGAAATGTAAAAAGCTATTATGATATATCCGTATACTGTGTAACGATAAGTATTCCGAATTGGACGAACAAAAATTATTTACAACGAATAAATCATTCTACGAATAGGCTACGAACATAAAATAACGATCGCCAACGAAAAAACGACGATGCAAGATTTCGGTAATATTTAAACAAGCATTCGGTTCATTATATTTTCTTAAGAACGATCACGGAAGCCAAGGGAGACCGGACCCTTTGGCGCGAGAATAAATTCAAATTGCAGATCGAGCTCTTCTTCCACGATGATCTCGAACTCCCGTACGATCTGCGACAAAATTAGATAATTGAACGTATAACGATGCAACACCAAACGCGTTTCAAAATGTATCGCGCATGAAAACGTACCTTTGCCAAAATAAGCTGCAACGCGAGATCCACGAATCGCTTGCCCGGGCATATCCTTCTTCCAGTTCCAAAAGGAGCAACCAATAACGGTGAATGAGGATTGACAGGCGTTAGCCATCTATCAGGAAAATATCTTCCGGCATCTTTAAAATTCTCTTCGTCCATGCCTGCTATCCAAGTGTGTAAAAGGACCGTTGTCTAGAAGAAAAACGATGATTAAACGATGAAAGAAAAAAGAGAAGCGAAAGAAAAGAAAATAAAAAAAGGAAAAAAGAGATAACCCTAAAGAACTGGTTTCTGATTAACACAAACAGAAGCACCGCAGCCGTTACTCACTCCAGTAGTAAGATGATAACCACTTAGTTCGATGGGTTCGTCCAAAATGCGAGCGATACAGGTTGTCGTTGGAATCATTCTAAATGCGAAACGACATAATGCAGCCACACGTTAACACACGTTAAAATCTTTTTAGAAAAGAAATGCGTCGCGCGTTACGCACCGGAATGATTCGGTGATACATGCGCGCAGATACTTGGCGTGCCGTAAATCCTCGATCGTCAAATCGCAGCCAGGCGGTGCCAATGAATAGGTCTCCTCGTAAAGTTTAGCTTGTACATCTGGATTACGCCCGATCAGGTAGAATAGAAACACCAAAGTGTTTCCTAGCTGTGCACAACCATGAGACGGTAAGCATGCAAAAATGAGATGGTATTGTAAAGACGAACTGCATCGAAATGCAGTAAAAAAAAAAAATAACGTTCTCACCGTGTGTATACCAGCCGCTATGAAGTCAACGATAGCCGCCTTCTTATCGCATATATCGAGACTCTTTTGCTTTAAAATGGATTGAAATACAGCCTCGACCGACTCGTCTCTAGCGTCGTTTCGCTTCTCCAATATAGTGGCTTCGACGATCTCCGAAATGATACTGAAAACCAGCAATCGAATAAGGTATAAGGCCCATCGAATTTTCAATCTATTCGCACGATACCGCCACGAACCAGCCAATACGTACTTGTATATCTCGTCCTCGCTTTCTATCAGTTGTTTGTACGCGGAAGTTGGTAATAATTTCCACAGCGGTAATCCGTAAAAGGCGTCCCGCGAGGCCGTAAAGTGTATCCTGACGGCTTCGGCTAATCTCGCGGCGAGCTCGCTGCTGGAATCTGGCTTTAAGAAACCCAAATGTCGACCCAAGATCAAAGTACAGGTGCCTAGACCGAAGCGAATACAGAATCCAAGTGAAAGATCGCGTTACGTGCGTGATAACCACTACCGCGGTAAAGTGTATCTTACTTTCGAGTCCCATTTTGTAGGCAAGCTCCTCGAAACCTATTACTTCATATCCCGTCCTTCGTCGACGAATCAACTCGATGAATGAATCTGCGGCGATGTTCAAAGCCGGGAAGAAGCCAAGAACGGTATTAGCACCCGTCAGTTCTGACGTAAGAGCTAACCGAAGGTCGTGCCATGTTTGTCCCTGTCTGTCGAATTATTCGTTCGTTTAAATCTAAATTAACAGCAACCTTCTCGTTTCTCCTATCGATGCGTTAAGCTTCTAGATATTTTACGACTGTAAACGCTTCTACGAAGAACTTTATCCTTCCCCTTTTATTTTATTACGTATGTGAACACGCACGCAGAGAAAGTTCGTCCTTAAAAAAATCCAAAAAAAAAAAAAAGGGAGATAAAGGAGATACCCACTCGTTGACCAAACCGAGATTCGTGTAACGATCCCGACGAGTTCGTCGATAGTAGGATATGACCTCTTGCGGGGGCCGAAGCGGATACTTGGAATTTCGACGGAGAATAGTTTCGATATCCTGACGAGAGAATACGGAGATAACAGGAAAGTTCCATAATGCTTCCTCTTTACACAACGGTCCATATCGTTTGTTCAAATCTATTCTTGAATCAGAAACGATCAGCTATGTTAAAATGTGTAGGTATTGCGAATCGGAATCGGTTGTTCGCTACGAGACTCGATGTTTCGTGTCGTAACGAAAGCGACGCGTACACCAGGGCCAAATTTCTTACCTTTGTAAGCATCGTGAACCTTGTTCAGCTTATAGTAGCCGATACAAGAAAAGATCCATCTGGTTCCGAGAATCGGTAAAGGATACGGTCCCGGTACTTTGGATACCGCTTCGCGCTTCTTATCGTCCTTCTCCTCGCCGGATTGTACTGTGAACAGATCGCACAAAAACGTAAACGATCGCGCGGAAAGAAAGCGATTTTCTCGAAACCTTCGAATCGATCTATGTACTATAGAGCGTATCAAGCGGCGAGCAATAATTTCTCAGGCGAGCAACAGGATCGCATCGAACCACGAGGTTTAAAGTTAGAAAGGGGATTGTGATTGTATACTGTACACAAACGAGCAGCGCTTCGAATCGAAGGCCGCCCATATACGAAATATCGTTTTCCCTCGACCTTCGAACACGACGTCGCGTCGAAAAAAAAAATTAAACATTGTTCTATGATACGATGGCAATTACATACGTGCACGTTCTTCGTACCTTTTCTACTTGATTAGCGCGCGATCAACGATCCGTGTGAACGTACAAGTTTATTTTCATAGCGCGAACCCGACGAAAGGGTTATTATTTTCAGAGAAACTTACCATTGCTTTTTTGAGACGCGCCGCTCCAAAACCACCATGCTGGCCGATAGCTAGTAGCGAAGACCAATATCGTCAAAAGAGTTACCGCGAGTACTTCGAACCAAGCGCTCGAGAGTAACATCTCGACACTCCTGTAAAAGCAGGAACAAAATCGCCCACTTACGAATATTGTCGTTCGATCGCGATTATTCGAATGGAAAAACAAATATTTTGAAGCTTCGTTATCATGTTACGAGATACGGATCTTTGAGCGAGAAGTACACATTGCGCGCTTATTATCTCGCGGGCTCTCGAATCTTTAACTTGAACCCGACGCGACGCAACGTGACGTGACGCGACTTGACAAACAATTATTATTCTTATAGACGTTCGTTATCTCGACGATAAAGGGATATATCGAGAAAACAGTGGCAAACTCGACACGCGCATACCAAACGCTAAGTATCGCGGTTATTTATATATTTCCATGTGACATCGGCTGCCGCGGCCGAAAAATTCGAATCGACGAACTGTAACCGCGAGGTATAACGATCGACCGTGTCGCGTAAAACACGAGTAGGTATGTATACAGTTGAGACCCGGTGTAAAACTGTTCGATCCTAGATAGGTAGGGGGTTCGTTCGACCGGTCTATGGAGAACGATCGCGAAACAGGAAACTGATAGAGAGAGAGTTTGTTACGCTTCGAGAGAATATAGGAGAAGCGAAGCGCGTGTTAGTACCGCTCGCGGAAGGAACGCGGATCGCGATAAATCCAACTAGTCGTTGGCAAAAAAAAAATGACGCACCACCGCTGCTCCGAGTCCATTCGAAGTTGACTGACTGTCCCAGTGTTATTTACGGACCGGCGGTTTCTTCTATTTGCAGTGGGCTGATAACACGTGTCGTCACGATGACCCTGCTCTCTCTTTCACTCGCTAATCTCAAAGCTGTTACACGGATCGGAGAGAAAATGCCTAAATACCCGTCCCACCGATGCGATGTGAACGATACGATACATG